TTCATCTACTCTTCTCGGAACTTCTTCATTTGTTGTCCCAATATGGGAATTTTCCCAATTCATTTTGCTTTTCATATCATAATAATATCCTGTAAAATGTTCTGGCTTCTGCTGCACTGTGCAAAACTTAGGAACATGATAAAATTTTGATCAAATTATATTTTTTAATGTACGATATTTAAAGTTCATCACTTGCATCGGTTGGCTACGCAATTGCGGATTTTTGTTGAAAAAGCAAGTGTAAGGCGCCCGGCGCAATGTTTATTAAAAAAGTCAATTAAAAATCACTACACACGGACACCTTACTACCTCGAAGAACCATATATAATTTATTGTAAGAATGGCTATATCAGACCTTTGAAAATAAGTAGAATAAATAAGTTGGTTTAGTTATTAATAGTATTTATTTGTTTGATGTTCACGGTTCAAGTTATGCGTACAAAATGAGGATGAGTTTCTTAAAAACTATCTTAGTACCTAGAGTAGGGCAGGAAATTATTTTATTATAGAATAGAGGGAGTTTAGTATATAGGTAGAAGGAGATGGATTAATAAAATTTGTGAGGCTCGAACATGCCGCCACGTTTTGAAAAAACAATGGGAAATTAGTTTACATTATTTTTCAACATTGCTTCATGTAGTTATGGTATTGTGGTAAAGTTATAATAGAAATGCATAAAAATGATTAAGATTAATTAGTTATAATAGTATGTAAAAATGGTTGATTTTTACATTTATTTTTATAAGTACATTTTTTTATTTAACTGAATAACTTCATGCTGTAAGTATTGTCCACTATATTCAATAACCTTTTGTCACATTTCAAGCATTATCATCAAATTTTCATAAAATTTCTTGATTTCATTAGCAGAAAACTGAATAGGGTAAAATTTGATACCATCATAATCATTGAATTGTTTACCATTCAAGAACTTTTGTAAATATTGAAACAAAACGTAATCAGAAATCTCAAGATCAAGAGGACTACATAGCGAATGCGGCAAAGCATCCCGACCAAGATCCAAAAATTTTTGCTGAGAGGCCAAAGATATGTGATCTCAATTCTAAAATAAATCATGGTTTTCATATGTCAATTCACGCCGCTTTTCTTTATTTGCTTTGTTTAAATTTGCTAGTTGTTCATTGTGGATATCAGAATTGATTCTTCAGTTGGGCGGTAAGTAGACAATTCCTTTGTGAACAACTTCAACTGGACGACAAAAGCGTCTTAAATGAGAAACCATCTGAACAAAACTTGGGAAACCAATTTTGACACTGCCGTTTGAAATTCAAACTTTGTACTTTTCTAATGAAACAAATATAATATAATAGTATATGATAAAATAAGAAATGATGGTATATAAAATCAATGATAAATTTAACAAAAATATATATGTGTTTAATGATGAACCAGATTAACAATTACAAAAAAAAGACATTATAAATTATGTGCATGTTCTGATTCTGATTCTATAATAAACACATTAATCTTGCTACAAACCAACCATAAGGTTATTGAAATCTAGTATTAACCTCTAAACTAAATTAAACATTTTTTAGAAATCATGAAATATCTTCTACTGGTTCAACGTAACAACCGTGATCTAATAATTATAGAGATATACTTTAACCAGGATAGCAATAATAAACTGTATATATATACTGTTGTGTTATATATATATATATATATATATACGAGGTGTGTTCAAAAAGTACCCGGAATTACTAATAATTAAATTTCGCGGGTCTGGAGTGTCTGATTGTCAAAAATTTTTTTTTATTGTGTTGGTATACATGCCCCTAAAGTATGATGAAATTTTCAGCTATATTCACTGTTTACTTTGTCTGTGGTAGTCGCTAAGGTTCGACGTGTTTTTCTGAGCTCGGCGATTTTTACAATGGAAGAATTGAAAAGTCAAAGAATTTGTATTAAATTTTGCGTAAAAAATGAAATAAAGTGTTGCAAAGTGCAAAAATTCACCAGATATGGCTCCGTGTGACTTTTTCTTATTCCCAAAGTTGAAGAGACCCATAAAAGGACGGCGGTTTTCCTCGATTGAAGAAAATCGCTGAGAGTGCTCAAGGACATATCAAAAAGTGAATATCAAGGGTGCTTCGAAAATTGGAAAAAACGCTGGCATAAAGTGTATTATATCTGGGGGGGACTACTTTGAAGGGGACCACATTAATGTAGACGAATAAATAAATATTTTTTTGAAAAAACGAAAATTCCGGGTACTTTTTGAACAGACCTCGTATATATATATATCTATAACTTTGTCAAAAAAATAGATATTGAGATGATTTTTTTTTTAAATAATTCTAAGGTATTGAGCTTTCATAATATCAAAAAATCTCAAAATCGAAAAAAACAATAAAAACCGAACAACCCCCTTAAGCAGAAATATGTGTTGACAATTTTAAATGATTATGTACTTGATTTACTTGCAACCGTCCCATCCGCAAAGTGTTAACAGTGTTTGGCGGATCACGAACTCTTTCCACAATTCACGTTATTGGTCGATTAACTAATTGAGTCATAACAACGTATTATATTAAGTCCATAATCAACGGATCGATTAGAAAACTTTTAGCTTTGCATACATCAATTATTAAAATTGCTTCAACTACATCGAAGTATGTAACCTGCATTGATCAGCCCCTTATTCGGGCATACCTCGCGGTGTAACGGTGAGATTTCTATCCGTGCCACCCACACCTCGAGAGCGTTTGAGATGATCACATACGATGATGGAAGAGATGTGCCCGCGCTGGGAAGAGCGTCCGATAGCGAGCGCAGCGGCTCGGCGTGATAAGTACAGGGCCGCAGTACGAGCCGTTCAGATTACACAGTCGGCGAACATTAAGACCAAACCACGCCCACGGACGTGGTGCCGATGGGTGGCTGTGCACGATGGTGTGAGGCTGAATCAGGTGGCCGCGGACCAGGTGAGAATGCGACCGAGATAAGAGGACGATGCGCGTGGACGAGAATGATAGAGGAAGCTTTGTCGCAGGTTAAGGATCAAATTTTAGATCTGATTGTGAGAACGTATGGTAGAAAGGTATGACGGTTTGTAAACAAATTTATAAGAACCAGATTTTTTTTTATTATTTAATTTATTCTGCAATCTGATTGCTAACAATAATTATCTTATAATATAAACCAGTAGGTAGTAGTAACACCCAGCGGCGTATCTACTAGGTATAAGGACTAATTATCTATACCCGAAGTATTTGCTGACATCTTTATTATATGTGCAACTATTCCCACGAGAGGCGATTTTCACTTGAGGCTATATTTGAGATCTATGACCTCAAGTGGAAATTTGACGTCAAAGTTGCCTGATGTCAGGCTTGGCGGTAGCGAGAATCGATCCAGCAAACCTAGGACTAGTTGCTGCTAGCCCACGCTCTAACCAATATCGCTACCGCTGGCCCATAAGAACCAGAATATTGAAGATATCTCATCAATTTAGCTATAGCGTTGCTAGGAGCTTTGTGTAACAAGGGTAAGTAGTAACAGGCATTTTAGAATAGGATTTCAAACAATACTGACATTTTTTTTCTCCATTGGACATTGAAACTACCCTGCAATATATTTTCATAGCTGCGATCCCGCAGAACAACGCAATGAGCAAAACTGTATAGATCCGTCATTTTTGACAAGTAATAAAAAATTGATCTATCATACAATTTTGGTTTGCATTATTATTATCGACTAGTTCTAAATTTTATTTATCTTATTTTGTTTCAAATTTATCAATATTTGTTAATGTGTAACAGTTTTTGTGATCGCTTAATTTTATAAATAATTGTCTTCAATGATGTAAATAAAATCATACCTAGGCTTAGATGAGACAAAACTTTGGGGCTAGTTGCAACATACAAGAATTATATACGGAGTCAAGTAATGAAGAATGAATGGAATGTATAGCTTGTAAAATTTTGCTGTAAAGTTTACCAATGTTAGGCTATCTTACATAGCGTTTCTTATACAATAGTATTAAATACTGTCTACATGCTATGCGATTGCTGTGCATTCAGGCGTTTTAGATAGAAAACCTAACCTAAAAACGCTCTAACGTCAAACGCACAATCTTACTATAACTGCATCTTTGTGATATGGCATAATAACATATGAGTGAAGTTGCAAATACGTAAATTTTGACAGTTTTTAGTAGAATTTTATATGATAAGTGCTACGTAACATATCCTTGCAATAACATTGGTCTATTTTACTGCAGAATTGACTCCTATATTTTTAATTTGTATTATGATATTACGTTGATATTTGTTAAAAAATTATATTATACGGACCTTATATATTTACGTAGAAAGAACTTATTTTTACCTAAAATTTTCCTACATTTTCTCTACTAACGCAAAACGCCATCTCTCTCATTCTTTCCTGTCCTAATCAAAATTTCTGTTACTGAAAATTCACTTTTACACAATATAAATACAATAGAGTTTTCAATTCAAATAACATACACTAAAAAACTCAATATAAAATTCATAACCGTAAAAGTTCGACTTCTTTTTAGTTGAAAATGCAAAATATCAAAGCTAAGTCAACTTGAGCAAATAATAAAAAATGGCATTTTAATGAGATTGCATATTATATACATGAATTTTTTAATAAATAAACGCTATCGATACTAAGAAAATATGAGAAAATTAAGAATTATATACTGGTACATTAACTGTACAAGATTACGTATTATATTTTATTAATTATCCAACTTATGTTAAAGAATCATAACATTTTAACTGTAGCTTAAGAATGTTTAAAGTTAATAATATTTAAAATCAAAGTAATATTTAAAAAAAAAAATTAAATATAATATATACTTTATTTAAAAAATGCTACTATTTTTCTACTAAAAAGATATGCACAGAATATAAAATGGTGTTCAAATATTTTAAGAATATTATATTTTAAAACAGATTTTAACTTTATAATTAAATTTATCTATAAATTGTACTATATGTACATACCTTCTGCAACTTCTCTTGTACTGTCAATCTGAAATGTATACAAAAAATAATTAATTCTCTTTTTTTTATAAATTTATCATTTTTAATGCATAAAAAACCTTGAATACAACATTATATGCCAACATACAATTGTCAAAAGATGAAGCATTCCAAATCCTTCATTGATAAATGAAATAAGTATGAAATATTAACGGAATATAAATATAAAACATGAATATTAAATATAAAGTTTAACTTTAGCAATTAAAACTAATATCAATATAAAGTCATTATCTAGAGGTAATGATAAACTAAAAATATTTATCCATCACAATGAACAATATGAAATTAATGTACAAAGCGTAAACCAATCAAGATCAATTATACATTCACCCAATATTTTGTAAAAGTATCAAATATTTTATGCTACAAGCATCATTTTATATTGTAGTATCTTAAGAAATTCATTTTTAAATTAAATTTTTAGATTGATATTTTTGTGGGTTGCAAAATATTTATTAAATATATATAGAACTAAAAAAACAATTATATTATTCTTTACTCCTACAACATGTTTTATAAAAATATATTTTCACTACAAAGTTATGTAAACAAACTTTAAACATCTTCCACTTAACTTGAAGGATTATTCTCGAAAACCCCTATGTTATTGCTTCAAAATATTACAAAAACTTATTTCAACGCGATCCTATTACTGGATTTCTTAATCTTTTGTGAAATCCTCGCCTGAGTAAAAATGAGAGAAATGTACGTTACTGGATGATCTAGGATTATTTTGCGCTTATTTGACTTTTTATTATTCCATCATTTATGCCTATACTATAAAAATTTTTATTTGCTTATATTTTTTCTTATTTATAAACAGTAATCTGAACTTAACCGATCTGTAATGTGTTTTGATGAAACTTTTCAACAATATCGCATAAGAACGACTGACTTCTCTATATTTGATAAATATTCATTATTATTATATTTGATAGAGAACGGATATTTTCTTTTGGAAACGTAGTTTTCAATCATAGGAAAATATCAAAATGTTCTCAACTTTGTGGAAGTACATAAAATGCATTAACACTTATTGTTGCAAAAATCTTAATGTCGAAGTAATCATGAAAACAATGTTCAATTTTTCCATATTTTTTGTATTTAAAATAGCGTTTGCTTTTTTATAAAACTGGGATAAAATCATCTTACTGATCTCGTTAACTTTTTAGAAGTCAATCTGCAACAATGTACAAATCCACTTAGCATTTCCAAACTAGCAAAAGTATTAATAAAACCTAATAACATACATATAAGCTTTCGAATGCAATTTAGGTTTTAGCCACAGGGGTGTTTTTCTTAAATCGAATTTAGTCTTGACAGCAAAGGCAATAAGTTTTTGGCAGTGTTTAAACACATTCTATTATATGGTTTCAATAACTAACTGGATTAAGCGGTTGGCATTGTCGCAAAGCCGATAATGCCTTTAAAGTTGTACGAGTTAAATTTTAAACTTGGTAAGTGGATAAGCAGATCAGGATCAAAGAATTTCTTAAGCATGTTGATCAAGATACTTTACGAACTGCTGCACTAAGGTGACATTTGAAAAACAAATTATAACATTTAAAAATCCTATTAAAAATAAAGGAATTGTCTTACGATACTTACTTCAAAAAATTTTGTGAAATCATTTATAAATTCAATACTTCATGATTATAATTTTGTAAGAATTATGAGCCCATAATAAAGTTAAAAATAAAATTTATTTTATACCAAAAGTGAAAAGTGATATGGAAGTATTCACTTTTAATTATAAAATAGCACGTCAATACAAAACGCTCAAAAAGAACAATGCTTACTTTTAAAATGTCTCAATAAAATTGGAAAGTCTCACATAAATAAAAAGCAAATCTTATAAAAGGAAATCTTATAATTTCTCAATGTAAATCTTGAAATACTTGCTCCTCAGGACATGGACAATTTTAATATATGGAATACAGATCCATTTTTCCTAAAGTATGCCAAAATTTTCACGATGTATTAAAAATTAAAAATATAAGAAACTAATACAAAATATTTTTTGTGATTTCCAAAACTTAGTTACAAAAAATTTTGTAAAATCATTGTTTGTCAAAATTTTTGTGTTTACTTAAATGTATGGCCTAATTCAGCCGTAAAACACACCAATGTTATGTTATGGAAAAGCTATGTTATGTAGAAGCTTTCATAAAAATTCGTAATAAATACTGTCAAATTGTCTTAAATATTCTAAACATCTTGACATTTCAAAATGTATTCAGTTTTTTTTTTTAATTTCCATTTTACTTGTGGTGCATGGCAAGTTGCTTTGAGGCGAATTGCTGAAACTTTCCGTACCGTGATTAAACAAAATAAAAATGATCAATTATCAATAAAAATTTATCAATGAATAATAACAAAATTTTGAAATATTTTAAAATAAATATTATAAATACTGTAAATTTCACGGTCGTATTTTATAAACCTAATATAAGTGCTTTTATTTGGGCAACGACCTTCATCTAAAATTATCTACAAAAACAAAAACAAAATAGGCACCGTCGACACAAAGATTATGTTTTTTGCGCCCGAAATCGCGTACGAAAAATTGTATCTGAACATATTTACATACACAACATACACACACCTACACACGTCACACATAAAAATCGAGGTAAGAAATGACATTCTAGATCCTCCCCTCACGAAGTAATGCCCAACGGCGGTTTCCGTGGGGACCAGAGGCAAGGGCAAAGCGGAGATTTTAGTCGGTATTATACCCAGGCGGTATTGAGCCCGACATACCCAGACAAAAGACCAGTCTGGGATGCAAAAAGCCATTTCAAATACATCCGTTTTTTATAATGTATGCCAAAATGTTCAGAAACTCCTAAAACGTAAAAATATGCAAAATCATTATCGATATTTTTGCGATTACTATAACTTACTCTACAGGAAGTGAAAATGCTAATAGTCACTGTTTTATAAGAATGACAGATATACTCGTCAATACAAAAAATTCTGCCACTTCTCCATGACGAGTGTATTCGTCAATTTCGTCAATCATAGTCAACTGGTTAATTATCCCAACCTGACTGTATAAATTGACCTCTATATAAAAGTGCGTATATAATTTGGACCAAGTTGTCTGCTGATCATATGCTCGTCAATACGTAAAATTCTGCCATTTCTCCATGACGACTATATTCGTCAATTTTATCAATCACAGTGAACTGGTTAATTATCCCAACCTGACTTCATAAATTGACCTCTATATTAAAGTGCGTATATAATTTCGACCAAGTTGTCTGCTGATCATTTATTTAAGCCTCGTATCAATGACAAGAGGGCCATTGAAATTCAATCGAGTCGGTTGTTCTTGAAACAAATGCCCACTCGGCACTCGGCCGATCTACACACAGGTTGCGATCGCACCGTGTAATCAAATAGTCGGAATGGTCATTGAATGTGATGTATATACCCATATCGCGTATCACAGGGGCACCCCGCGGCCACAATTAAACGCGAGACCTGTCATTTAAACAATTACGAAGAGCGCCGAAACGGAAACAGAACAATTACTATCCAACAATGCCCTCCTCCTCTACGCCTGGGCGACAGGCGGTGTGGAAACACTGGAGCACTGTTGTGGAAGAATCAACAGCTCTGTATTCAATTAGAATAATTAGATGGTTAATAAACTGACATTACATAGCGTAAACTTGGGCCAGCGGTGGCGATATCGGTTGGAGCGTGGGCTAGCTCCAACTAGTCCCAGGTTTGCTGGTTCGATTTCCGCTACCGCCAAGCCTGACATCAGGCAACTTTGAGGTCGAATTTCCACTTGGGGTTATAGATTACAATTTAATTCCAAGTGGAAATCGTCCTTCGTGGACATAGTTGCATCATTCAATCATATGTAAACTATTAGACGTAAGAGCTAATATATAAACCCCACACATAGGAGAATGGTGAACCGATGAGTTGCCTTTCATAATAATACCTTAGGTTATAAGTCTTGAACAAAACAGCTTATAGAACATATGAAGTTCTGATTTAGGATCTTAAGGCACAGAATTCTCTTGTTCTTTTTTTCAATAAGAAACAACATCTATTCCATTTATACTTCTTTTATCTCGGATTTATTCCATTTTAATGGTCCAATGAGAATAATACATTATTCTAATATACTTGAAGGCATTTCTCCTTTATCGTTGAAAGTTTTGTCATAGTTCATATAAATATACAAATTCTTGTCAAAAATCTACTCTGCAATAAATTAGATCAGCGTTTGCCTGCATCCGTGCTCCAAAGCGAAGCAATATTTCTAATAGGAAAAAATATATTCAATATTTCTTAATTGCAGAACATATTTTCAAATGTTAAAATAATTTATGAGATCATAAAATTAATAATATTACAGTAAAAAATAAATTTAAGTTATAGGGGAGACTGGGTACGGTTGTGCCACTTTTTTTTGATCGGCCATAGTTTTGGTAATTTACCAGTTAGCTGAAAAAAAGCAAATTAAATCGTAATTTGAACATTTTTCAACGTGAAAATACTGAAATACTGTCCTTAAATACGATGGATTAGTTATAAAATAAAATTATACGAAAAAAGGGCAAGTGTCACTACCGTCCACAACCCCACTTGTGACGGGAACAAAAATAGGTTAAAAAACAATAGATATAAATACCAAAATGGGTTATAGCGACTTTTATTGTCTAACATTTCTTCTAATTCCATGCGGCTACTACTGTACATTCTATTATTATACAAGAAACTAACAACACATATAAAAATTATTAATAATTATTCAAACAATTTCTTAATAATCTTCGAACAGTATAAAACTATAAGTAATTTATGATTTCCAAAAATTATCATCAGTTGCATGCAATGAGAATAATCAGCTAATTTACATCTTTTTCATTGGAAGTTTCTTTGAAAATCATCCACATTTACAAAAATCCATTGATTTATTTTTTCCAGTAAATCTTGCATAAATTGAAGTTAGAGATTCTC